CTGCACAATGAGCACCCTAAAACCTAACTGGAGGACCCCAATAATGGCTCCAAAAGCTAACCGTGTAATTTTAATAATTTTTGCAAGTCAGTTGTTAAGACCATTATTAAAAATTAAATTATATAAAATTAAAACTAAATTATATTAAAAGCAAAGGTGATGTTCAAAACTAGGCAATTCCTCATTTCACTGTATTTTGCTATTGTCTGTGCTCTTTTTTAAAAAAGATATTCACCCTAGGATATATTTTTATTGATTTTAGAAAGAGGAAGGGAGGGAGTGAAAGACATCCATCAGTTGCCTTCCATATTTGCCCCGACCAGGGTTCAAATCTGCAGCCTAGGTATATGCCCGACTGGGAATCAAACTCACAACCTTCTTGTGTATAGGACGCTTCAACAATGAGCCCCGCTGGACGGGCTAATTTAACTCTTGAGTAGCCAGATTTAAAACAGTAACAGGAGACAGCTGAAATTAATTTAAATAGTATATTTTATTTAACCTGGTATGTCCAAAATACTATTTCAACATGTAATCAATATAAAGTAACTAAGGATATCTTTTACATTTTTTTTTCATTACCAACTTTCAAATTCTGGTGTTTATTTTACACTTAAAGCACATCTGAGTTCAAACTAGCCACATCTCAAGTGTTCCAACAGGCAAATTATCAAATGGCTGCCATGGTGGACAGCACAGGTCTAGACTTAAGAAACAGGTGGAACCTGGCTGGTTCAGATGGCTGGAGGCTCATCCCATACACCAAAAGGTGGCTGGTTTGGTTTCCAGTCAGGGAACATGCCCAGGTTTTGGGTTGGATACCCAGTTGGGGCCCATGCAGGAGGCAACCAATTGATGTTTCTTACACTGATGTGTCTCTCTCTCCTTTCCTCTAAAATCATTTTTAAAAATTTTAATAGGTGGAAAAAATATTAATGATGTAGTTTAAATTTAAAAGTAGTGCTAAGGCTGAGAAATTTTAATCCAATTAACAATTTGCTCAATGATGAGAAATCTGTATGTCGTGCATCAAATTTAATGACAATTAACTGCTGCCGACCAGTGTGGCTCAGCTGGTGGCAGTGTCGTTCCATATACTGAAATGTTTAGAGTTTGATTACTAGTCAAGGCACATACCCAGGTTGTGGGTTTGATCCCAGTTGGGGCATGTAAGGGAGGCAACAAATGAATATTTCACTCTCACATTGATGTTTCTTTCTCCCTCTCTCCAAAACCAATAACAGTATGTCTACACTGCTCTTGTACCAGATTCTCTTTTTAATCCAGTAAGGATTAAGAAGAGAATCTGGTACAAGAGCAGTGTAGTAGGCTTAACAGTGGCCCCCCAAAATATCAGGTCCTGCCCTAGCCGGCTTGGCTCAGTAGACAGAGCATCAGCCTGGGGACTGAAGGGCCCCCGGGTTGACTCTGGCCAAGGGCACATGCCTGGGTAGCGGGCTCCATCTCCAGTGGGGGGCATGCAGGAGGCAGCCAATCAGTGATTCTCTCTCCTCTCTCTCCTCTCTCTCTCTCTCTCTCTCTCTCCCCCCTCCCTTACTCTCTGAAATCAATAAAATTATCAGGTCCCTGGAACTTGTACATGTTTTTATATTTTACATTTTTTAACCGTGCAGATGTGATTGAATTTCTTTACATGGGAGATTATTTTGGGTTATCCAGCTGGGCCCTAAATCCAATCATACAAGTGTCCTAAGAAGATGGAGGCAAAGGGAGATTTGATAAACACAGAAGAGAAATCCAGGAATTCCAATGCCCATTAGAAGCTATTAGAGGTAAGGACTAGAGGCTCCAAAAGCAGCAGGTCCTGACAACACCCCAGTAACAGTAATTTTGGGTGCCTGGTCACCAGAACCGTGAGAAAATGAATTTCTGTTGTTTTTGGTAATTTGTTACTGCAGCCACAGAAAAGTAATACAAGTAGAAGGGATGGAATTCCATTTGCCATACTGTGGTTGAATTAGTACCACAGGTAGGCTATAAATGTAAGAATTCAGGGGGAAAAAATCAACAAAATCATTCTGTGAGAAACTGGCTACAGAGAATTTATGATAAAGAATATTGTATATTTTATTTGTACTTTATGTGCTATACATCTTTTATATCAGTACAATTTATAATAACATGTGTGTATATGACATATACCAGGTCTGTCTTGTATCCTCAACACCCAGCACAGAGCTTGGTACACAATAGGACACTCAAATATTTTTTGAATGAATGAACATGACTTTGGACCTGTTTCCCCCACCACACAACAGGGCTGGAGGAATGAGATGGGCTCCCCAGGTGGGCAGTACTGGTGCCAGATGTTGTTAAGAGTACCTACTGTGTACAAGACTGGGCTGGGGCAGACTGGTGGACACAGCAGCTGGCCCAAACAGCTGTGCCCCAGGAAATGGCTGGGAACAGTCAGATTCAAGGAGTCAGGCATGGGATCTCACATTCCTTCAGGCCTCTGCAGGCTTGGGGACTGCTCAAGGGATTATCACAGTCCAAGAGATGGGGTGCCAAGTAGCCTCTGTACAAGCACAGAGACCAGTAATGCCAAAGACACAGCAGGATCTGCTAAGGCAGGACCCTCTTTCTCTATGTTCTGTCCCTCAGTACTGCAGGGCAAAGGGCCTCTTTCACCCAGGGACTGGGAAGAACCAGGGTCTGGCTTTGTCACAGCTACAGAAGAGAGCCCTCTCAGTTCCCAGTGTTCCATGTGAGCCCCCATTCCATGCTCCTCATCAGGGGCCCAGGCATAGAGGGTGGTGCGCACCTCTACATGTATATTTAGATCATCCTGGCAAGTCACTCTCCCTCCAGCTCCAATGTCCCCTCTCCGGGCATCCAGTGGCTGACCCCTGTAGGCCAAACTAGCCAGATCTGTTACCAATTTGCAGGAATGACCCCTGGCTGAACAACTGTTCCATCTGGACTTCCCTCTGTTAAATGGGAAGTGGCTTACCAAGTTTCCACAGCAAGAATTTGGCCAAGCAGACTGGCTCTGGGCACTGGAAGCAAATGAAGGAGATTCTAGGCCAAAGCCCCTAACCAGAACCTGGGAGCCAGGTCTGGGATCTGAGGTACTAAAACCCTCTGGGCCCCAATCCCACTCCATCCCAAAATGTCTGCCTGTGTCCATATACCACAACTCTACTGGTATGAATTTTGAAAGCAAGGACCAGGATAGTTTTGCTCACTATTGGGGCCACAGTGTGGGATTGCCCAGAATTTAAGAACTCAATAATGTGTTTAAAGAGCAAAACCACTTGTGTGTCTTCTACAAAGACCAGGCTCTCCCCCCTGCTTTTGCTCATGCTATCCTTCCTTCACTAACACACATCCTCTCTGGTCACCCCTAGGAAGAGGAGCTTCCAGAACTTGGCAGGGTAGATCTTGGCTCCTGGGAGTGGGAGAAAAATCAGAAGTCCAGTCCATCTTCAGCCCCTGGCCCTGTGTCAGTGATTGGTCGTCTGCTCTGGAGCCCTAGTGGACAATAAACTCTGCTCACTACCAACCCCCACTCAGAGTTTAGAGAGAAAATAAAGGGATGAAGGAAGCACCAAAGGCAAGCCCTCTTTTATGATAGCATCAGACACCTGTTTCAAAATATATTAGATTTGGTTTTTATTGTAGAGCACACATACCAGGGCAAAGTGCTGCACACGCAACTACAAATCATTGAGGGGGGAAGAGGAGCTGTAAAAAAAAAAAAAATGCAACTGCCTTCGTTATGCAGTTCCAACTTGAGGATCCATGCTGGCAAAGGAGTTCTGGCCCTGAGAAGGGCTTCCTAATGGTGGCTGCCCCAGATCTCTGCAGTCCCAGGCCTAGGACTCTATAAAACAAGGTCTTCCCCATGGTGGTGGCAACGTGGGGAATCTGCTCAGGCCTAGCAAGGAGACATTTCTAATAAATCTAGACCAGCAAAACCTCACAGCCCTCGAGAATCGGAGGAGTGGAAACTGCCAAAGACTATTTTTTTCCCTTTTATTACTATTTTTTAAAAGCCCCTTCCCCAGCTCCCATGCCCCGAGGTGGAAGAGACACTAACCCAGTCTGCAGACCTGGGCTCTGGCCTTGGATGTGTGCTGCAGGCAGGCACCTTTCTATGGGGGTGACATGGGGAGAAGGCCCAAACTGGCCAATGTAAAAGGAAGGAAAGGAAAAGGAAAAGAACAAGACCAAAGGAAAAAAAAAAAAATTAAAACAAAAATCCTGCTACACATAATAGTTTTCCATACCCCATTTAGAAGCAATTTCTAAAACTGTCCCAACATGGCCAGTCTAACTGTTCCATACAATCACACGCATATGCCTGGAAGGAGCAACCCAGCAGAGGCGTGCTCTTGGCAAGAGGTCAGGACCGCTGCAGCCAGGAACCTGTAGGCAAAGCAGGCCAGTGGGCATGGAGGAGGCCCTGAGCTTGCCAATAGCTCTGGGGTGCAGGGCTGGCACTATTGAAGCCCCTGCTCAGTCATCCTGAATGTTTCTGCAGCAAGAGGAAGAGGGTGTTGTGTGACTTTCCAGAGCCTGGAGAGCAGGTGACAAGTAGGACAGCAAGGCTCAGGAGACCTCAGCCCAGCTTAGACATGGCGGGGAGGAGGAGGGCGAGGAGGAACAACTTCATTCACAACACTGAGAAAATTTACATATAGAGCAAAACAAGAATTTTCTTAACCAAAACATTTTGTTGCTTTTAAATAAAACCAGCCTGACACAGCCCCACTTGATGGTTGCCCCGTGTTCCTCTACTAGCCACTCCAGAGTGAGCTGTCAGCCTTTTCATCCAAGAGGAAAACCAAGACCAAATTCTGTTCTTTAGCCTCAATAGGCAACAAACCAAGAAAAAATAAAAGGGTCTAAACAAACAACAACAAAAACACACAGAAACAAAACCCCTCAAAACGAAACAAAAACGGGTGGCTACGTGAGGATTAACCAGAGTTCCCGAGAGGCTGCAGCGGGCCTCAGTGCCTCCGCATCTTCACCTTTCGGGTGGGGCTGCCCGCGGCCTCTGAGCAGTCCTCCGACTCATAGGACTTGCGCCAGTAGTTCTCGGAGCTGAAGCTCCCCCTCCGCCGGTGAGTGGGCAGCAGCACTGAGCGTCGGTTCTCTTCCTTGTCCATCTCCAGGATCCTAGGCCTGCAGGGGTCAGGGTGGGAACGGTTACAAAGAGGCTGGCATGGCAGCAGGACCTCCCACCTCTGCACCTAGCTCTGACCCTCACTGGCAGGATGACTCACCCCCACTCTCCCAGAGGGCTGTACTGGCAGAAGCAATGGCATTGTTGTTCCTGCCCACGAAGTGTCTCCTATTCGTTGAGACACTTCCTAAGTACCCTGTGTGGTCTGCACAGCTCTGAGTCTGGTGCCCGAGGACACTGCCAAGGCTGCCGAATAGAAAAAGGCCTTCCCTATTATAGCCCAACACCCTGCACAGTCCTGCCATCTCTCTTCACTTCTCAACCACCCATCTACTCCTCCTTTCTCTCTGCCCACTACCCCCACTAGCCCCTGAAACCACCAAGTTCTTCCTGTCCCAGTGTTTCAGCCCATGAGTATCTCCTGCCTACAATGCCCTGCCCACAGGTCTTCCTCATCTGTCTGGTCTTAGCTTACATAGTACTTCCTCAAGAACCGTCCCCAGTCCCTCTGAAATGGGGCCCTGGCCCGCTAGCTTCTGAGTCCCAAGCTTTCCTCCTAACAAGAGTGCTTGTCTGAGTGGACTGGAAAAGGGCAATCATGGGCAGGCCATGAAGCATTCCCACTTGTCAGAGTCTTGGCCTAACCTCTTCTTTATGAGGATACAGGCAATCAGGGCTTAAGTGTGAATGGCACCAATGCCACCAGCCCAGGGGAGCTAGACATAAAGCTTGAGAAATGTGGGCAATGCCAAGCTCCTAGCCACCTATCCCAGGCGCTTCTCTATCCATCTCACCCTGAAGCGAGGCCATGGGGCTGCTTTGCTAGCCTTATTAAGGGTCTTAAGCCAAGTACCTGTGAGCAGCGTCGGGGTCTGCCTTGCGGTGAGACCGCTTGGGTTTCAGAGCAGGGTCCCTGCTGTTCCCTGACAAGCGATCTGAAGCATAGCTGGGCGGTAACACAGAGCTGCTCAGGGACTTGGTCTCCAACCGGGGCGCATCTAATCTAGTCCTGCAAAAGAAACAGGCATGGGGTCACCAGGGGAGTTCTGGGGGGTGTGGATTCCAGCAGACCAATTCTTTCTCCAAAGTGGGGAGGCCGGAAGCTCGGCTCTGTGCCTCAGTCTCTTGTAGTGCAACTAAGGCAGTGGTTGACAAACCTAGGCTCTCAAGCCACATGCGGCTCTTTGGCCCCTTGAGTGTTCTAACACCACTTCTTCAAAATAGACTCATCCAGGCCGAAAGCCGACTTCTGCAAATGGGCCATGAAGTTTCAATTGCACTGTACATGTATGCCCGCACATGGTATTTTGTGGAAGAGCCACATTCAAGGGGCCAAAGAGCCGCATGTGGCTCGCGAGCAGCAGTTTGCCGACCACTGAGCTAAGGTTTGGTCTGGCTGACTTTCAAAGACACTTTTTTAAGTTCAGGCTTAGGATCAGGGAACAAGAATACTTTTGTATGGCCCTAGCCATCGGCCTGGGGACTGAAGGGTCCCAGGTTTGATTCCGATCAAGGGCATGTACTTGGTTGCAGGCACATCCCCAGTAGGGGGTGTGCAAGAGGCAGCTGATCAATGCTTCTCTCTCATTGATGTTTCTGATTCTCTATCCCTCTCCCTTCCTCTCTGTAAGAAATCAAAAAAAATTTAAGAATACATCTGTAGGAAGACTTCCATGACAGAAATCAGCTGCCCCCAGGAAAAGACCACAGGGCACTCTCTGAGCTGGATGAGGCAGCTTCGGGCCCAGAGGTTCTCTAGACATTTCCACCTGCCAGAGGACTGAGAGCCCTCTGGTGGGCACCAACATACTCCAGCAGACAACTTCATCCTTGCCTAAACTACCAAGGCAGGAAAGTTCTGGCCAGGCCTAGAGAAGGACCGGAGGGGAACAGAGGAAGAGTCCCCCCCTCACCCCCCCCCTCAGGGACTGCAGCAGAGCCAGGAGAGCCCAGGCCCACTCCACATTCATGTACTTGGCTCTCACCCCACCACAGCCACCTGGCAGCTTCTGTTTATTCCAGGATACTGACCAGGCCAAGGGCTTTTGAAGGCAAAGTTCTCACCTGCACTGGGTGTGGATTTCAAGGAATACAATGCCTACCTAGTAAAGAAAGAGGATGCAAGTAGAGTCAAGGAAGGGGGGTTGGAGAAGCTGGGCAGGGAAGTATCAGGGCAGTGATCTGAAGCCAGGCTAGGGAAACTTCAAAGAAGCCCAAGGCTCCTTGCACGGTATAGAGGAGGCTGGCAAGACAGGCTGGTACAGCAAGGAGGAGGAGAGAGGCCTGGGGTGGGGAGTAATTGGTGCATAGCTGGCAGAAGGCCCCGCAGGCAAATTCCCATAGGCTGCTTGACACAAAGCAGTAATTTGGTTCTGAGGAAAAAGGTGCTGTGATAAGGGCAAGACTCAAAGGACACCCTCACAAAATTACTGAGGGAAGGAGAGCTGGGATCAGAGGCTGCCTTGCCCTAGCCTGCCTGGCATTCTTGGTAATAACTGCACCCAGTCTTTGCAGTTCCCCCTACCCCTACGGCTGGCCTGCTGTAAACAGATAGGGAAACTGGGTCAGAAACGTAGGAAGTCATGTGTCCTGGAAGTCTTGGAGAAAGGGTTAATTAAGCTTAGGTAAGACTCCAAGCCACCCAGGCAAGAGTCACGGGGCTCTGAACCCTGGCAGGGATCTTCTCCTAAGACGAGCGGGGGGCACCTTTTAGCTAGGAACACATGTGCTGATACTCTCAGGCTCAAGAGAGTGGGCAGAAAGGCCACATAACTGGTCCCTGCCCTTTGCTTTGGCCTCACACAGGCAGAGGCCAGTGGCGCACAGCTCTTCCAGCCTCAGCCTCCACTCTGGGCACTCCAGGCTCAGGGAAGGAGGACCTAAGAGTAAGAGAAAATCCAGCCCTGATCACCATCCCTTCTGGGCCTCAGTTTTCTCATCTGAGCAAAGAAGGAAATGTGACTGGCTCTAAGGCCTCTTATTTATTTATTTCTATTTATTTATTTATTTATTTATTATTTTTTTAAAATATATTTTATTGACTTTTTACAGAGAGGAAGGGAGAGAGATAGAGAGCCAGAAACGTTGATGAGAGAGAAACATCGACCAGCCGCCTCCTGCACATACCGGGGATGTGCCCGCAGCCAACGTACATGTCCTTGACCGGAATCGAACTTGGGACCTTTCAGTCCGCAGACGGACGCTCTACCACTGAGCCAAACCGGTTTCGGCTCTAAGGCCTCTTTTATAATAGTTCTGAGGGTCTAGAAACCAAAGATATGCCCTAAGATTCTTCAGAGAAGCACCAAGAAGAGGTAGTGCTGGACAACACCCATATATGAAGGTGGGAATTAGAATCACCTGAGCCCCAAAACCCTCTATCAGGCCAGACCTCATATCCTTATGCTGAGAGGTCCAGGCAGCAGAGATAAGACCAAACAAGATATTAGCCATTAAGTTTGACTGCAAGGACTCCAAGAGTCTGAAGCCTCATGGAGGAACATCTGGCACCACTAAACTAAGTCCTACACAAGATGCCACAGGTGGCAGGGACCACACACTCAGGGTAGGCAGGGCATAGCACCCTGGAGTTGTTTCCTTGGATTAGTGACACATGGCAAGAGGGTAGCAAAGCCACCAAGAGGAGAGCCCAAACTACATACCTGAGGGCCAGAAAACACAAGCACATCCTGCCTTGCTGGCACAGGCCACGTCCTGGTTTGGCCCCGCCCTTAAGCTGCTAACTAGGTGAGTGGCCTGCCTGGGCTGCCCGGGCACAGTGGTGGTGGCCCCTCACTAGGGTTCTAGGACTGCTGGAGAAGCTGGGAAGAAAGTTACGACCAGCTGATTCTGGAGAGAGGACAGGGACCTACACGGGCCCTGCTGTCTCTAGCTACCTAAACGAGAAAAGGGTACTATTCTCTGCATTGACTGTTCTATAGTTATCATGGGGCAGCCCTCAGAGGAGGGATGATCAGAAGTGGGGACAATATAAGTGTTGGGGCTCCGAAGGGCCTGACCATCGCCTGGGGCTGTTACAAGTACATCTCAGAAAAGCTGGAGGAGCTCCTGTCCTCCCTCCACATCCAAAAGCCACAAAGCTGCAGGAAGCCAGGCCTGAGCCAGATCCCAAGCCCAGAGTCCACCAACAGCTTAACTTCAGACCAAACCCCTCTTCAAAGACCAGGGAGCAGGCAGGCCCTTCAAGGTTCAGTGTGCACAGCCACAGATTTGGAGTAAGGAAGACCAGTTCTATCAGTAAGGTCTGGGCCCTTCAGGAGCAACAGGAGGAAGACCTGCATTATAGAAGTGAGTCAACATCCCCTGGTCACAGCAAGGCACCACAGGCACATGAGGCGAGGGACGGGCCTTGGCACAGGGGAAGCAGAACAAAGGGAGGATGACAGCATTAATGTAACACATTGCCACGTGACTGAGGGGATGGGGAACTGACTCTCTCCTTTTATCACTCAGGGGACCCTCCAGAGAAGCTACTAGATAATACTCACTGCAAAGGTGGGAAGCAATGCAAACTGGAGATCAAGCCACTTGCCTAAATCACATAGCTACAAACCTACGATGGCTTCCGAAGCCCAGGTGGGTTCGAATAGCTGCAGCAGAACAGGGCAGTGCAGACAGACCACCACCACCAGTCTGAGCTTCAGGCTCCGCTACCAACCACTCCCCCAACTTCCGGCTCACCCTCACCAAGCACCCTTCTGTGCGAGTAAGCCTGGCTGTCCCCATGGGAGGCAGGAAGCAATGTGCTGGAGCATATCTGAGTACCCCCTTGTCTACTGAGTGACCTAGGTCAGTGGTCGGCAAACTCATTAGTCAACAGAGCCAAACATCAATAATACAACAATTGAAATGTCTTTTGAGAGCTAAATTTTTTAAACTTAAACTTCTTCTAACGCCATTTCTTCAAAATAGACTCGCCCAGGCCATGTTATTTTATGGAAGAACCACACTGAAGGGGCCAAAGAACTGCAGTTTGCCAACCACGGACTTGGGCCCCTAGGCCTTAGCTCCAGCACCTCTGAGTATGAAACCCCACAAAACCCAGATCTGCATCACTGTCTCTCCTACCACAGTGCCCACCCTCTCTAGGCATGCCCACCTTCCCTCCAACCTCCCTAAACATCATGTACTTTCCAACTCCTGCCTGCTCCCCCATGAGGCAGTTCTGGGACAGTTACAGAAGTCTGCTCTAGCCAGAAGAGCTAAAAGGCATGTGGGGGTTACTACCCAAAGCAAGGGCACTCACTCCAAGCACACAGTCCTGGGCTTCCAATAGGTCTCTCCTCAAACACAGCCTGGAAGATACCCAGCCCCAAAGAGTATCTTTCCCAATCATTCAGCCTAGTTATGATAAGTGCTCAGGGATCCCCTAGTTCGGGCCTGGTCAAGTCTGTCATCCTCCAGGAACTAGGTCAGACACCAAACTTGCTTTCCCTCTTCTAGGCCACTGCACACTGCGCCTCCTGGTGTCCCTTTCCTAACCGCTCCATGTACCTCTGCTCGTGCTGTACGCTGACTGGACACAGCCTTCTCAGTCCCTACGCTGACCCAGCAAGAACAGAGGGGAGGCATGCTAAGGAAGGGGCTAGGAGAAGCACACACAGCATTCTTAAGTTTAACCATGCCCAGCACCACAACTGCTCCAATTTATGGGTGAGAACATAAGGCTCAGAGCCAGGCCAGGAACCCAAGTCAGTCACATCCCCTGGTGATCTCATCACCTCTTTATTCCTGAGCCAGTTGTGAACACAACAGGCTGGTCAGGCTGCCCAATGGGTAGGGTGTATACATGTGCGCACACACTCATTCGACCAGAGAAGAAAGGTGGGCTAACCTTTGGCACAGGAGACAAGAATCGTGAAGACAGAAACTATGGCAAGGGTCTCATTGGAGATGATGTCTTAGACGTGGCCAAAAGTTCTCTACTCATCCCCATCCCTCAGGGGCAAAGCCGAGTGTGCCTTCCAATCTCACTTCAGCTCACCCACA